TCTCTTAAAAATTAAAAATAGGCGGGGCACAGTGGCTCACGCCTGTAATCCCAGCACTTTGGGAGGCCAAGGCGGGTGGATCACCTGAGGTGAGCCTGGCCAACATGGTGAAACCCCATCTCTACTAAAAATACGGAAAATTAGCCAGGCATGGTGGCATGAGCCTGTAGTCCCAGCTCCTTGGGAGGCTTAGGCAGGGGAATCACTTGAACCTGGGAGGCAAGGTTGCAGTGAGCCAAGATTGCACCACTGCACTACAGCCTGGTGACAAGAGTAAGACTCCATCTCAAAAAAAAAAAAAAAAAATAGCCAGATACGGTGGCAGATGCCTGTAATCCCAACAATTAAATGTGCTGAGGGTGGAGGATCACTTGAGCCCAGCACGTCAAGGCTGCAGTGACCTATTGCACTCCAGCCTGGGTGCCAGAGAGAAACCCTGTCTCTTAAAAAGAAAAAAGAACTGCAGAACCCTAGGCTCTCGGGAATGGAAGCATAATCTTTGGTGTCTGCATAGGAAAGGATCCACCAGTGAAAACGTAAGTTTGAAAATCACTGAATGAATCTGTTCCTCTCTCCCAGCGTGTGGCTGGAAGCAGTGAGGGCATGGGGCTTACACAAGTCCCACGGCAAGACGGCAGCACAGCCAGAGCTATGGCCAGGTCCTCAACTCTGTCTGCCCCTTCCTGGGGAAGGCTGTTGTCTGTAATGCTGGGAGGCTCTGGAGTCACACACCCGGGTCCTAATCCCAGCTCTGCTACAAGTTACTGTGCAACTTTAGGTTAGCCAGTTCACCTTTCTGAGCTATAGTTTCCTCTGTGGAAATAATGATACAGAGCACCCCTATCTACATGGCTTGTTATAACAATTAAAAGAATCTAGGTAAAATCCATAGGATCACATCTAACATACTTCAAGTGCTCAGTAAATTGTTGTGTGAAATCAGTCTGAGTTCTGGCTTCCTCTGTCCCATCTGTGCCCGACTGAAACTTGTAGGTTCCTGGGACTACTGTACAGTCCTGGAGTCAGGGAGGTGGCTCAGTCCCTCCCTCTCTTCTTCCTGGCAGGTGATCGTCTGGGGAGACTATGGCCGCATGGACCACAAATGCTTCATGGGCATGGCCCAGATCATGCTGGACGAGCTGGACCTGAGCGCCGTGGTCACCGGCTGGTACAAACTCTTCCCCACCTCCTCAGTGGCAGACTCCACACTCGGATCCCTCACCAGGCGCCTGTCCCAGTCCTCCCTGGAGAGTGCCACCAGCCCCTCATGCTCTTAAGGATGTCAGGAAGAGAGGCCAGGATGGTCGTGTGGGGAGGGGTGCCTGCTGGCCCCACGTCTCCCCTGTACATAGTCTTTGTGTCTTTCTGGACCCCTTGTCCTGCTGCATGCCTGTTGGCTACTGGGCTCATCCCAGCTGGCAGTGGAGACTGTAGTGTGTGCGTGCGCGTGTGCGTGTGTACATGACCATGTTCTATCTGTTCATTTGTCTGGGGGTAGTCACTCCTGGTGACGACATGGGCTGAAATGTCTCCACATCTCTTTGTATCTTGTTGAAAAGAAACCCAAAGGAGTGTTGTGTGGATGCGACTCACCCTGAGGAGTCTCCAGGGGTGGAAGTGGGGCACGCGGCCACTGGTCGGTGCTGCCTGGTCCTGGGCCCGGGGCAGAGCCTGTGTGTTCTCCACCTGTGCCTGCTCCTGGTGGTCTCCGCTTGTTTTCTGTCTTGTCTTTTGTTCCACTCTTGACTCTTCCGGCTCTACCGCTGTTTCCTGAGGAATGTAGCTCCCGCTGCAGCTGGCCACACTGAGGGCCCTCTGGGAACCCCACCCCACCGGAGCCACTCTGGCAGCTCTTCCTGCCACTGAATGCATTCTGCAGCATGTAGCATGCCCACCTAGCTCCCTGGCCAGGACCCCGGGGAGGCAGAGGGTACCCGGGGGGCTGAGGGCTTAGAAATGACTTTCTCTGTGGGACTGGGACCATCTCCTTCCTGCAGTGAAGCACGAGGTCTCAGTTCCAGGGTTCCTGGCCAGGTGCCCCCTTAGCATTTGTTCTCATCTTCTGTCTCTTCAAGCCTCCCCACTCCGCCACGCCGAAGCAGCTCTGCCAGCGGGCCTGGGCAGACAGCCACAGAGGGCATGTTATCTGCTAAAGCAGACAGTCCTCCTGAGGCCCTGAGGGTGGCCCTGACCTCTTGGGGGCTCATTCCTGGCGGGCATGACTCGGTAAGGAGGTGCTGTGGGTAGGGCTGTTTGCTGGAATAAGGAGGGCTGAGGCTGATTGTTCCCAGCCACTGCTGAGAATCCTGTCTGACATTTGGGGATTCCCTGCATGAAGTTGTTCATTTGGAGCTCTAGTTTCTGTGCATTTCCAGACCAGGGTCCCTGTCTGGGATCCCAGACTCAGCTGGGCTTCAGCAGCCTGGCTCCCGACTCTTGTCTGCCACCATCACCAGCTCTGTCTAAGCAATACTTCCCCCCTGGGCCTCCCTGCTCTCCTGTGCCCCGCCACTGCCCTCTGCAGAGCTGTCTGCCCCAGGCACCCACCTGCCTCTGCTTGCTTTCTCACCTCTGTCTGGTTGGAGCTTCTCACAGCCACTCAAACCCTGACTTGATTTGGCAACTGGGCCCTGTTGGTGGGGACCAGTGCCTGGACTGGACCCTGTGAAATCTGTCCCCTGGGAATCTTGAAGTCTGGCTCAGGAAGGTCCAGATCTGTCCCTGTCCCTCCTCAGCTCTAGGGTGAAAGGTGAGAGCTTGCTTGGGAGATGGACGGAGTAGCCCTTGGGTTTGTGTCTAGTAGGGAAGAAAGCAGCAGGGCAATGGAGGTGTGGGGAAGGCCCTCTTTCCACCTCTCCCCAGGCGGTATTCCCAGGTGCTGAAATGGCTGTGGCCCCAGCACCTGAGGCAGAGGTGCGCTACCTGGGGTAGCAGTGGAAAGGTCTTGGGGCCTGAATGACTTAGGGCCTCCATTCATAACCAAAGTTGGAAGGGCATGGAGGCGGTGGCTCTTTGCGATAGGTCATCTCAGCCCAAAGGGTCTCCTTGGCTAGCATGGCTCTGTGTTGGGGTGAAGTCAGAGTCCTGTAACTTCTCCCAAGAAAGATAGGGGAAGAAGCCAGGACCCCACCTGGCCTGCCCACAGGATAAGAAGTGGGTAAGGGCAGGAAGGAAATGAACAGAGTTAGCTCCCAGGCTCCTGCTTCTGCCTGAGCCTCTATTCTTGTCTTACTAGAGAAGGGGACCATTGGGTGCATAGAGGGAGGAGGCCGCTGGGCTGAGTCTTCTCTTTAGGCAAAAATGCTCTTCCCAGGCCCATTATGTTTATCAAGTTCTTAGAAATGGGCAAAGGGCTCTGTCCTCTTCGACCCTAATGGGGGATCAAGAGGGAAACTCCTTTGCCAAAGGGCACTTTAATCTCCTGTTTATGATCTGTTCACCTCTAGAGCAGTCCCAGTCAGGATGGTGTGAAAATACTCTACGCCTTGGGATGACAGGGTTGTTAGTGACCCACAGGACAGTATAGATATTTGTTGATATAGCACTGAGTGGTGATACCCAGATCAGCAGTCACCCCAGGAAATGGGGGCTACCCATACCCTCATTCTTCTGGTGGGAAGCTGCCTGCAGAGAGGCCTGCCAGTGGGGGGACTCCAGGCCACAGTGCCCCTTGCCTCTGGAGAAGGGTTAGCACAGGGGAGGTTCTAGCTGGAGGAGGGGCCTGATGTGCTGGTCACGTGGGCTGACCTACCCACAATCCCTGGCTGCCAAAACTGCCCAGCAGTTGGGGATTGTAGGTAGGTCAGCCCACCTACAATCCCACTCCACTATTCTGCCTCTCCAAAAGAAGGTCATTTCCTCCCCAAATTGACCTTGGGGAATTATTATTTTAAACCTTTGCACCAAATAAGTCACTCATCCCCACCTGGATTTTACCCCAAGAGGGTAAAGTGGTTTGAGGCTGACATGTCTGTGTGATGCAATGTGGCATCAGGGTCTGTTTCTCAGCATCCTGGATGCAGGGGCTTTTCTGAAAAGCCACTCTGGAGCTAGCCTGTCCCAGAAAAGGAGGATGCACAAGTGTGACTCCTGGTGTTTGCTGGGGTGGGGGGCATCTGCTGTGTGAGGAGGGGTGGTGGGGAAGAAAGGACATGGTCTCTCCAGAAGTCTCCCACCCTGGGGCCAACTCACTGCCAGGTTCAGTGTCCTGGCTTCAGATATCCCCTCGCCCAGGTGAAACCCTGCTGTGGTTACAGGATGGGGCTGTTTGTCATTCCACCTCCTCTGGTCAGGCGAGGTTCATTGTGCATATAGCAGAGACAGGAGTGGCCCTGCAGTGATGTTGGGTTGTGGGCAGGGACAGTGATGGATGACTCAGAGCGTCTGTCTTTGTATTTCTGCTCTGTTCGTTCTGTCCCACTTTCTTCATAGACTCCTTTTCTCTGCAATGGGCCTTTGGTATGAAAAAGGCTCCAGTAAATGGAGCCATGTCTTGGTTTGACAAACGGAACTTGATCCTTCAGGGAAGAACCATCTCCAGAATGACTCCCCATTTGGTTTCTTCTACCACCCAATTCTACTAGGAAAGGAGCACTTAGGAGGTTCTTGGGATGCAGCAAGTCCTCAGCAATGCCAGCATTTCATGGGGCTGAGGCAGAACCCAGGAGCTCCAGGAAAGGACACCCATAGAGCAAATGCCTCGTGGAATCACTGCCGGTTAGAACATTGAGGTCAAGCCAGTCCTCCCATGGTCATGCCACCCACCGGGGAAGCATTCCTGATCTCTTCTTTACTGCCAGCCTTGAGGAGAGCAGAAGCCTCCATTTTTAAAGACAATAAAGACCTCCAAGGGTACTTCTTTGGAAATGAAATGTAGCACAATCTTAGCCTATGTTACCAGGAGCCCTGACATGCAACCAGGGTCCCTCTTCCACGCCCTGCTGCCCCGGAGATGCTGAGCTCCTCTTCCCCTGGAGTTCCAGCCCTCCTAATACCTCATATTCCCCATCTTCCTCAGCCCAGAAAGCAATAGGGCTTTAGTGATGCTCCTCTTTTGTGTCTCTCTGATTGCCTCTAGCACTGTGCAAACTCTGTGCAAGAAATTGCTGCCTTTGCTTGATGTTGTAGACGAGTTGCTCTCCACCTGGCTGGAGAGATGGCACATCATTCAGGGCCGGAAGGTTGTCCAGCAGTGTTTCTGCAGTGGCTGCAGGGAGATGGAAAAGAAGAGGCCTGCTTCCCTGCCTCCTCCTACCTTTCTCTTCCACTCCCCAGAGTTTTCTTCTCCAGTATCCTGACACGTAAAGAGATTCTTTAAAATGCTGCTTCTTCTACTGGACTGTCTTTCACTGAGTGGTCAGGGAGGAGATGAAAATGTGGACCCATCCCCCCTGCCTTCTCCCTCAATCTTTTCACTCAGGTCAGAAGAGGTTGGGGTGAAACAAAACAAGCATGATTGAGGAGCAGGGGAAGCCCGCACAATCAGGTGAGGCCTGATGGGGGCTGGACTGGCCTGGTCTGGCTGGGAAAGGGTTCTTTTGAAAGTGTGCCTGAGCATCTCAGAGCAATGTCAGTGATGCCAAAGAGAGCAACTTGGCCTCCTTGGGCACCAACTCTGCTGGCTGAGTTGCACAAACGTGGCTCAGATGTTGGTGTGCCCAATGGCGGGGCCTTGTTCTCTGATAAAGGGCTTAATCTTTCCATGTAGCAAAGCAACTCTCCCTCCCTCCCCTCCCCCAAACCCTGAGCTTGGGCTTGTGTGGGCCCAGCATGGCTGTGCCTGTGAGGGAAGCCACGTCAGTGAGAGAAAGTTGCATTCTCTCAGGGGCCTAGACTGGCTTGGGGCAGGTGCTTGCCGAAAAGCATGAGTGTTTCTGCTTTGAGAAACTCTTCCAGGGCTCTGGCTGGAAACTTGGCCAAAAAGGACAGGGCCTTGGGCCTCCCGAGGAGTTGACACTGATGCTAGGAAGGGTCCCTGAGCCTGGGTTCCAGTCAGCTTGGCTAACAGAATGGGGCCTGGGAATTCCAGGGGCAACCAAGCATCCACCTCATTGGCCAGTGACCTGGACAGAGACAGCTGGCTAGAGGGAATCAAAGGCTGTTCTGTACAGTTTTGCCAGAAACTGTGACCTTGGGCAAGGCTCCTCACTTTTCTGGGCCTCAGCTTCCTCATCTGCAAAATCAGAGCATTAGCTGCTCTCTCCATAGTTCCCTCCTGGTTTTAATTGGAAGTCTCTGATCCAGAGCACATGAGGGTTGCGAGCCTGGTGCACCTGGTTCCCGTCTCCATGGGCTGGTTTCCTCCAGCCCCTGATGCCCAGGCTGGGTGCAGGCCCTCAGCTGGTCTACATCCAAATGCTGCCTCATACAAGAACTCTGGGAATCCTAACAGACTCTGCTTTCCTCTCTTCGTGGTTTGTCCTCCCTCTTTTACTCTTGTGTGATGATGAGACATAATTAAGGGTCGTCTACAATGGATAGTTTTCAAGGTGCTGGTGTGATGTCGCAATCTCAGCTCCATCCTGAGTAGGTCAGTGTCCCCACCGCAGATGAGGCTGGGTCTGTCCTCATTTCTGCTTCTGGGATGACATCACCGGGAGAGTTGAAGATCTGAGAATTCTAAAGGAAATGCTCTCCAATGGGAGGAGAGAGGGAACTGATTTCCTTTCAAAGTATTTTGCTTCTTAAGACCACTCCTCCCTCCAGAGTGTCTTTAACCAGACATCATCTCAGAAGGCAGGGCAGCTGCTTCCTTAAGGAGAGTGGGCCTGATAGCTCAACCAACTCCTTTAGCATGTAAACTCACAGAAGGCAAGAACCCCTTTTTTTAGACTTTCCAAATGCATCTTGCAAAGAGAGAGATAGCTGATAGGGACTGACAAGCACACTGTTTAGATAAGAAGCAATTAGCCTTTTATATCTGTGCTCTATACATTTTCTATGTGCGGCATCTTTCCTAACTTGTTGTGGTTCCCGGGTGGCAGGTGTACAGCTGGGAGGGACTGCCAGCTGTTTCGTACAATGTTCTTGCCAATTTCCTTGAGGAGAAAATTCTTCACATGGCTTCTGCATGTACAGTATTTGGGCAGCAAAACATGATTAAAGTCGTTTGAAAATGGTTTCATGTGTCGCTTTCTATAGACGGTTCTTCATCCTAGGAGGAAGAAAACAAGGTTCCAGGTGGCTAAAAAGAAGAGGAGGGGGATGCCTTGGTCAAGAGGCAGGAAAGAGCAGTACATTTCAGAAAAAAGCATGAAAGATACAGCCTGGGCCTCTGACTCCTGTTTGGGAACTTTATGGTCACAGCAATGTTCCTGGGCCATGAAATCTGACTGGTCCAGGCAGCTTCCTTGCTCTGTCTCCCAGGGCCCCAGCTTCCAAGCCCTCAAAGGCTTCTATTTCCAGAGACTCCACAAGGGATGTCCAAAGACAGGGGAAGGTAAAATGGAGCTAAGGCCACAGCTTTTAACCCACTATTCCTTTCTTTCTGAGTTCTTGGGTCCAGCAGCTTTGCTCAGGCATGTGGCTTGCTTATTGCAGCCACACCTGATAGCAGCAGTAAACACAGCAGTTGACTGATATGTGCTGCACCCTACATCAGTCACTGATGCCTGGAGCACCCATTCCTTTCCTTGTCTCAGTGGGGAGCAGAACAGTATGTTAATATTTAGTCATTCTGAGGCATATCCACTGTCCTAGGGCTGGGTTTGGGGGTACAGAAGATAGATAAAGGAAGTGTAGCATTGTCATGGCATGTGCTTGCTGGCACAAGGCTGGCACCCTCCTCCCAAGAGCCCTCAGGGAACCTTCACTCCACTGGCTCTGGCCCTATGCCTTGCAGTTCCCATGAGCACCATCTCTTGAAGGAAGGCTCATAAGATCAATATGTTAGCTCCATGGCACCCCAGAAGTCTGTCTTTTACCTCTTTCCCAGTGCTGCTCTCTCCCTGAGACATGGCATATGCTCTCATTAGTTTAAGAACTTCTATCCAGCAATTCCTTCCAATAACAACTGCACCCTCCCCTCTCCGCCCACTAAAAAACAAAAAGCAGACCACAAAAACTGAGATCCAAAGAAATTCTAAAGGATGTTCTTTAGATAGAAGAAATATATCTCAGAACACTGCCTGGAACACAATCCTACATGTTCGTTACTAGGAGAAATGATCCTGGATGGAAGGGCTGAAATGCAAGAAGGAAAAGTGAGCAAAGTAATAGGTTTTAAAATATTAGTAAAATATAGGCCAACTACTGTGGCTTTTGTCTGTAATCCCAGCACTTTGGGAGGCTGAGGCAAAAGGATCACTTAAGGCCACTAGTTCAAAATTGGCCAGGGCAACATAGTGAGACCCATCTCTACCATAAATTTAAAAATTAGCCACATGGTGGCACATGCCAGTAGTCCCAGCTACTTGGGAGGCTGAGCCAGGAGGATTGCTTGAGCCTAGGAGTTCAAGGGTACAATGAGCTATGATTGTGCCACTGCACTCCAGCCTGGGTGACAGAGTGAGATGTCTCTTTTAAAAATTTGGTACAGCATCCTGCCTCACAATGACTTTCCTATTGTCTTTCATGTGTCATTCCTCCTTTTGTAGTCCACACCACAGTGCCTTGCAAAAACACATGAATAAAGCAATAACATTTGATTGTTAAGCTACCCAAAAAACCCAGTATTAATTATTAGAACTAATAAGAGCATTCAGCAAGGTTGCTGGATACAAGATAAACCTACAAAAATAAATTGCATTTTTCTATAACAGCCAAAAGCAATGAAAAGTATGAGTTATTATCCACAATAGCAATAAGTCATGAAACATCTAGGGATTATTTAAGAATATGTAATGCCTATATTAAGATAACTTTTAAATTCTAATAAAAAAGTTAGATAATCTGAATAAATGGAATTCCCTGTTCTTTAATGAGATAGTTTAAAGATAGTAGCTCTCCACAAATTAATCCATAAATTCTCTATATATCATTTATTTATTATTATTTTTTTAGACAGAGTCTTGCTCTTTCACCAGGCGCCAGGCTGGAGTGCAGTGGCGTGATCTTGGCTCACTGCAACCTCTGCCTCCTGGCTTCAGGCGATTCTCCTGCCTCAGCCTCCCGAGTAGCTGGGATTAGTGGTGCATGCCACCATGGCCAGCTAACTTTTCTATTTTAGTAGAGATGGGGTTTGGCCCATCTCTATGTTAGCCAGGATGGTTTTGATCTCTTGACCTTGTGATCCGCCCACCTTGGCCTCCCAAAGTGCCGGGATTACAGGCATGAGCCACTGCGCCTGGCCATTTATTATTTTTTTTTAGGAGACAGGGTCTCACTGTGTCACCGGCATAGAGTGCAGAGGAACAGTTATTGTTCACTGCAGCTTTGAACTCCTACTCTCAAGTGACCCTCCCACTTCAGCCTTTCCAGTAGCTGGAATTACAGGCAAGAGCTACTGCACCCAGCTCATTCAATGTAATCTGAATCAAAATTTCAGTTGTTATTTTAAGAGATAAACTTACTCTATATGTGCAGTAATACAAGTCCATGAATGGCTAGATTAACATCTGTGTAAAAAAGAGAGTGCCCAAAGATTGAAATATGAATATCTGGAAAATTAACATAAAGGAAGCATCTTAAAACAACAGGGGGAAATGGATTGTTTAAATATGTTAGGAATATTTAGCTGGGCACACTGGCTGACACTTGTAATCCCAGCACTTTAGAAGGCTGAGGCAAAAGGATCCTTTGAGACCAGTAGTTCCAGATCAGTTTGGGCAACATAGCAAGATCCCCTATCTACAACTGAAAAAAAGCTGGTTCACTATCTGGACAAAGATAGTATCCCTACCTAAACCAAGATATAAACATAAGCCCTAGATGGCTTGATAGATTCAAAATTGAAAGGTAAAAGGTAAAGTTGATTAAAAAAAGGATAAGTAATTTTGTGAATTAAGGACAAGGAAGAACTTCTAATATATATTAATATACAAATTAAAGCAATAATGAAATCAGTTTATACCTACAAGAGACTGGCAAAAATGAGAAAGCTGGATAATGCCAAATGACGGCAAGGACACGAAGATACATGAACTTCAGATTCTAATGTTGAGAATGTAGACTGGGTGCAGCCATTTTGGGAAACAATCTGACACTACCTGGTCCAATTATTATGCAGACCTTGTAAGCAGTAGATTGGTATATATATATATATATATATATATATATATTTATATATTATATTATATATAAATATATATAATATATATTATTACACCTGTAATAATATATATAAATATATATATAATATATATATATATTAAAGGGATACATATAAGAATTTGCATTGAAGCATTATCTATGGTGGTGATGGTGGTATGGTAGGCAGAATAATGGCCCTTTGAAGATACATTATAATCCTTAAATCTGTGATGATGTTAATTGACATGGCAAAAAGGATTTTGCAGATATGAGTATTTTAAGGACTAGAGATAGGGAGATTATCCTGGATCATCTGGGATAATTATCTGAGCTCAGTCTAATCACATGGGTCCTTAGAAGTGGGAAGTCTGGGCCAGGCATGGTCACTCATACCTGTAATCCCAATACTTTGGGAGGCCAAGGTAGGAGGATCACTTGAGGCCAAGAGCTTGAGACCAGCCTAGGCAACATAGCAAGACCCTATGTCTAAAAAAATTTAAAAATTAGCTGGGTGTGCTGGAGAGTGGCTGTAATGCCAGCTGCTCAGGAGGCTGAGGTGGGTCGCTGGAACCCAGGAGTTTACGGCTGCTGTGAGCTATGATCATGTCACTGCACTACCATCTGAATGACAGAGTGAGACTCTGTCTCGAATTTTTTTTTTAAGAAATATTTTTCGTCTGTGGTCAAAGGGAGTCAGACCATTCTAACTGCACATGGTCAGAGAGATGTGGTGTTATGGGCTTTGAAGATAGATGAAGGGGAGAGAATGAGCCAAAGAACATGAGCAGCCATCAGAAGGTGGAAGTCAAAGAATTAGATTCCCACTCATTGCCTCCATAAAGAACTCTTACATCTCAATCATAAATACATTAAAAAATTAAAAATGGGCAAAGGATCTGCATTGACATTTTTCCAGTGAAGATATCTATACATATGGAAAATAAGCGCATGAAAAGATATTCATCATTGGACTTGAAATGCAAATCAAAACCATAGTGAAATATTACTTCACATTCAGTACGGTGGCTAAGATTGAAAAAAAAAGAGAGAAAAACAAGTGGTGGTGAGGATGTGGAGAAACTGGAAACTTTTGGAAATGTAGAATGATGCAGCCACTATGGAAACCAGTTTGACAGGTCCTCCAAAGGTTAAACATACAGTTGCCATAAGACCTAGCAATTCTTCTCCTAACCCATATACAAAAGATAATTGAAAACATATGTCCACACAAAAACTTGTACATGAATGTTCCTAGTAGTATTATTCATTATAGCCAAAAAGTGGAAATAACCAAAATGTGTATCACCTATTGAATGGCTAAATGCATGGTATTCCATACAATGTAATATTATTTAGCAATAAAAAGGAAAGAAGTATTGATAGATGCTACAACATGGATTGCCTTAAAAACATTTTGCTAAGCAAAAAATCATATATTGTATGATTCCATCTATAGGAAATGTCCATAAAAGGCAAATCTGTAGACACAAAAAGTAAATTAGTGATTTCTCGGGGCTAGGGATGAGTTGAGAGAATTTGTTGCTATAATTTTTCACTTCAAAGCATATTAAAGCAAATTATTCAGGCTGAAGGAAAATTATACCAAGTAAAATTCAGATCTATACAAAATAATGAAGAGCACCAGAAATACACATGTAAATATAAAATACTTTTTGTTTACTTTCTTAGAAGATAATTGCTTTGAGCAAAAAACAAACAAAAGCCACAATCATTTATTTTGGCATGAATAACTTACATGGATAAAAACTGTATGGTAACAATAACATAAGGAATGGGACGGGAAAAATGGAAGTATACTATATTTTTACATGGTATTTGAAGTTATACAATATTGAGAGGTAGACCATGGTTAAAGTTGCATAAACACTAGAAATAAAAAGAAAGAAAAATGAAACAATTAGTCAATAAACAGTAGAGATAAGGTGCAATACTAAAAATCCACAATCTAAGAGTAGGTAGGAAAAGCAGAAAAAATGAACAAAGAATGATAGGACAAATAGAAAACAAGGAGAAAATCATGTGATCATCTCAATAGATGCATAAAAAAATTTGACCAAATTCAATATTCATTTATAATGAAAAAAAAAAACCTCTTGACAAATTAGAAATAGAAAAAAGTTCTTAACCCCCAAAAGGACATTTATGAAAAACTTAGAGCTAATCTGATACATAATGATGAAAACTGGACACTTTCCTCCTAAGATCAGGAATAAGAAAAGAATGTGTGATTTTACTGCTTCTATTCAACATTGCACTGGCAGTCCTAGTCAATAAGATAATGGGGTATGACAGATGAATAAAAGGTATATAGATTCACATGGAAGAAGTAAAGTTGCCTTTATTAACAGATGGCATGACTGTGTACACAGAAATGTCTAAGGGAAAAAAAAACAATAAATTTGTCAAAGACTCAGGAAATGAGGCCAATAAGCAAATATCAATGTTACTTCTATACAGTATTAAAAATAACTTTAGAAAATGAACATTTAAAAACAATACTTTTTACACTAGCATTTAAAAACAGGAAAAACTTAGAGATAAATTTAACAAAATATAAGAAATGCACTGCTGAGAGAAATTAAAGATCTAAAGAGTCAACTTTATGGAGAGTTATACCATGTTCATGGACTTTAAAAAATAATATTGTTAAGCTGTCAGTTCTACCCAAATCGATCCCTAGATACAATGCACTTTCCATAAAAATCTCAGCAGGTTTTTTGCAGAAATTGACATGCTGATACTAAAATGTATTTGGAAATGTAAAAGACCTTTAATAGTTAAAGCAGTTTTGAAAAAGAAGAACCAAGTTGAAAGACTTATACTACCTTATGGTAAGACTTAATATAAAGTAACAATGGTATTGGCCTAAGAATAGCCATATATAGGTCTGATGTGGTGGCTCACGCCTGTAATCCCAGCACTTGGGAGGCTGAGGCAGGAGGATTATGAGTTCAGGCATTCGAGACCAACCTGATGAAACCCTGTCTCTACTAAAAATACAAAAATTAGCCAGGCATGGTGGCACGGACCTGTAATCCCAGCTACTCAGGAGGCTGAAGCAGGAGAATCACTTGAACCTGGGAGGTGGAGGTTAGCCAAGATCATGCCGGTGAGCCAAGATCATGCCACTGCACTCCAGCTGGGGTGACAGAGTGAGACTCCATCTACAAAAAAAAAAAAAAAAAAAAAGAATCGACATATATATCAATAGAACAGAACAGAGATTGCTGAAATTGATTAATAGATCAACTGATTTTTGACAAGGTGTCAAAGTAATTCATTTTTTTTTGAGACAGAGTCTTGCTCTGTCACCCAGGCTGAAGTGCAGTGGTGTAATCTCAGCTCACTACAACCTCTGCCTCCCAGGTTCAAGCAATTCTCATGCCTCAGCCTTTGGAGTAGCTGGACTACAGGCATGCACTACCACACCCAGCTAATTTTTGTATTTTTAGTAGCAATGGGGTTTCCCTATGTTGACCAGGCTGGTCTCAAACTCCTGACCTGAGGCGATCTGCCCACCTCAGCCTCCCAAAGTGCTGGGATTACAGGTGTGAGCCACTGTGCCCGGCACAATAATCTTTTCATCAAATGGTGCTGCAACAGGATATTTCGATAGAAAAATACAAACCTTGATCCTACTTTATGCACAAAAATGAATTCCATATGGATCATAGACCTAAACATAAAAGCTAAAATTAGAAAACTCCTAGAAGAAAATATAGGAAAAATTTTTCACAACTTTATGACAAACAATAATTTCTTAGAATATAAAAAGCACCGGCCAGGCGCGGTGGCTCAAGCCTGTAATCCCAGCACTTTAGGAGGCTGAGGCAGGTGGATCACGAGGTCAAGAGATCGAGAACATCCTGGTCAACATGGTGAAACCCTGTCTCTACTAAAAATACAAAAATTAGCTGGGCATGGTGGTGCGTGCTTGTAATCCCAGCTACTCAGGAGGCTGAGGCAGGAGAATTGCCTGAACCCTGGAGGTGGAGGTTGCGGTGAGCTGAGATCGTGCCATTGCACTGCAGCCTGGGTAACAAGAGCAAAACTCCACCTCAAAAAAAAAAAAGAATATAAAAATCACCGACCATACAATAAAAATTAAAAGAGATACTGGATATCATAAATATTAATTTTATTCCCTTTTTGAAATATACCATTTAAGACTCATAACCAGATGACAACTGAATAATAAGACAACTCAAGTAAAAAGATTTGAACAGACAATCACAAGAGGAGATATACATAAGTGCATTAAAGGATACTCATCATCATTAGCCATCAGGAAATTGCATATCTGTAGAATGCCTAAAATTAATGACTGACAATATCAAGTGTTGGTGAGTATATGGAGCAGCATTTTTGAAGGAAATATAAAGTTGTGTAACCGTTTTGGAAAAGGATTGGCAATTTCTTATAAAAGAAAATGTACTTATCACATGACCCTGAATTTCCACTCCTTGGTGTTTAGCAGGAAAAATGAAAACATATTTTTGCCCAAAGACAAGATTGTTATGGCAGCTTCTTTATAAATCATATAGTCAAGATTTATGAAGAACTCATACAACTCAATAGCAAGAAAACATATAACCCTTCATTCACAATAGCCCCAGATTGGAAACAATACAAATGTCTAATGTATCTGTTAGAGTTCAATCAAAATATAGAAACCACACAATAATTTGAAGAAAATTTTAATATAAAAGTTATTAATGGGATTTTTCACAAGCAATAGCATGAAATTAGACCCTTATCTTATACCAGGCACACAATTCAACTGAAAATGAGTAAAAGCCCTAAATGTAAGATCTGAATCCATAAAACTCCTAGAAGAAAACATGAGAAAGCTCCTTGACATTAGTCTTGGCAGTGATTTCTTGGAGATTACATTAAAAGCTCAGGATGCAAAAGCAAAAACAAATAAATGGGGCTATTTAAAACTAAAAACCTTCTGCACAGCAAAGGAAACAATCAACAAAAGGAAATGACAACTTAGAGATTGAGAAAAGTACCACATATCAGATAAAGGGTTAATATCCAAGATTTATAAAGAACTCATACAACTCAGGCCGATCATGGTGGCTCATGCCTGTAATCTCAGTGTTTTGGGAGGACAAGGCAGGTGGATCACCTTAGATCAGGAGTTCAACACCAGCCGGGCCAACACTGTGAAACTCTGTCTCTATTGAAAATACAAAAATTAGGCTGGGTGCGGTGTCTCACACCTGTAATCTCAGCACTTTGGGAGGCGGAGGCAGGCAGATCACAAGGTTAGGAGTTCAAGACCAGCCTGGCCAAAATGGCGAAATCTGCTCTCTACTAAAAATGTAAAAATTAGCCTGCCATGGTGGCACACACCTGTAGTCTCAGCTACTCAGGAGACTGAGGCAGGAGAATTGCTTGAACACAGGAGGTGGAGGTTGCAGTGAGCCGAGATCATGCCACCGCACTCCAGCATGGGTGACAGAGCAAGACTCCATCTCAAAACAAAACAAAAATTAGCTGGGCATGGTGGCACATGCCTGAAATCTTAGCTATTCAGAAGGCTGAGGCAGGAGGATCGCTTGAACCCAGGAGGCAGAGGCAGAGGCAGAGGCTACAGTGAGCCAAGATTGGCCCACTGCACTCCAGCTTGGGTGCCAGAGCAAGACTCTGTCTCAAAAAATAAAAAACATAAAAAAGAACTTATACAACTCAATGGCAAGAAAACATATAACCTGCTTTAAAAATGGGCAAAAAAACTGAATAGCCATTTCTCCAAAGATGACATAGTAATGGCCACCAAGTGCATGAAAAGGTGGTGAGATAGCACCTCACATGTTTTAGGATAGCTATTATCAGAAAGACAAGAGATAACAAGTGCTGGCAAGAGTATGGATAAAAGGGAACCATCATACACAGTTGATTGAATGTAGACTGGTGTAGCCATTACAGAAGACAGTAAGGAGGTTCCTAAAGAAATTAAAATATAACCATATGACCCCAATTAAAATATACCACATGACCCAGCAATCCCTCTTCTGCATATAAACCCAAAGAATGTAAAATCACCACCTCATAACGATATCTGCACTCCCAAGTTTTTTGCAGCATTATTCACATTATCTTACCTATAAGATAATCTATAAGATAATGTTCTAAGGCCAGGCACGGTGGCTCACACCTGCAATCTCAGCACTTTGGGAGGCCAAGATGGGCAGATCACCTGAGGTCAGGAGTTCCAGACCAGCCTGGCCAAGATGGTGAAATCCCATCTCCACTAAAAATACAAAGATTAGACGGGTGTGGTGGTGTTCATCTATAATCCCAGCTACTCAGGAGGCTGAGGCACAAGAATTGCTTGGACCTGGGAGGTGGAGGTTGCAGTGAACGGAGATCACGCCAATGCACTCAAGCCTGGGTGGCAGAATGAGACTCTGTCTCAAAAAAAAAAAAGATAATGTTCTATACAGGTAAGATATAGAAACATTATCTTTTTTTATCTTACAGGTAAGATATAGAAACAATGGATGAATGGATAAACTGATACATACATATATATATATAAAACAGTTATATAACCGTTATATATATCTATAATGGAATATTACTTAGCCTTTAAAAAGAAGGAGATCCTGCTATTTGCCACTACATGAAAGAAGCTGAAGGACATTATGTTAAATAAACCAGACACGGAAAAAAAAATATATGTTCTTACTTATATGTGGGATCTAAAAAAAGTCAAATGTACAGAGAGAAAGAATAGAACAGTGGTTACTAGGGTTGGGGTGGTGGGGAAGGAAACGGGGAACACAGGTTGAAGGATACAAAGCAGTTAATATGTAGGATGAACAAACACAGAGAACTAATGCACAACAGGACTCTAGTTAATAATAGTGCATTTTATTCAGGATTTTTGCTAAATGAGTAGATTATAGCTGCTCTTGCCACAGGGGAGAAAATGAGTAACTATGTGAGATGATGGATATGTTAATTCGTTCCACTATAGTAACAATTTTACTATATATATGCATCTTATATAACACCATGTTTTGTATCTTAAATATACATAATAAAATTTATTTTTTTTAAAAAAGATTAATTCTAGCAAAGGAGTAATTTTGAAGGTGTAAAGGAACTCTAAAGACTGTCAGGGCTGAGCGCGGTGGCTCAAGCCTGTAATCCCAGCACTTTGGGAGGCTAAGGTGGGTGGATCATGAGTTCAAGAGATGGAGACCATCCTGGCCAACATGGTGAAACCTCGTCTCTACTAAAAATACAAAAATTACCTGGGCATGGTGGCGCGTGCCTGTAGTCCCAGCTACTCAAGAGGCTGAGGCAGAAGAATCGCTTGAACCTGGGAGGCGGAGGCTGCAGTGAGCTGAGATCGTGCCACTGTACTCCAGCCTGGCAAGAGAGCAAGACTCCGTCTCAAAAAAAAAAATAAATAAAAAAGACTGAGGCTGAAGGAGAGTGCCCAAGAAAGAAACAAATTAGAAGAGGGCCCTCTCCTTAAAGCTGGGATTCGAACCTTGATGGAAAATGTGAAATGAATGTGATGTGAAGAAGCATGCTGGGTTGCCCAGCCCAGACCTGGTCTAGAGTCTCAGATAAGCAGGCAACACCCCAGGTAAAAGCAGGCAAGGCTGGCAGGTGTAACAGGGAGAGTCAGAGTCAGGAACCTACTCTCAGGCAGAGCCATGCAAGGCCTGGGAGCCATGGAAATCCTGCAGGGAGCTGGCGGGCCATGCTGGCAGCTGGCACAAAGGGAGTCAGAGGGTCAGGGCCTGCTCGCCTCCGCACAAACCCTGAGATGGGTAAAGTCTATGTGGGGAGGGCAATGGGAGGTGGGCACCGGGCTGGGGCTGGGGCTGTGAGCTCAGAGGCATGAACGTGCTGGGGACGCGCAGCTAGGACAGAACCCTAATGGATGTCCCCATTCATGTGCCTCTTGGAGCAGCGCACTAGAGGAGAAAGAGAAGCAAAACAGGAGTACACAGGCTCCAGAAGTTTCTGCCTCCAGCAGTGTCCTACCAGCGCCATCTACTGACAGAGCTGGACACTGTCATCATTGCAAATGAGATATGCTTAATAGGGGCCATTGCCACTATGCTGAGCAGGCAATGAAGGGTAGATTTGGAGTTGACAGACCACATATTGAAAACTGTCCCATCTAGCAATA